CAAGGAGAGGTTGTCCTCTGCTCTTGGACAGCCCCAGGGCAGGCAGGAATATCCTGCTCCTGTGGGAATGGAAAAGTAGCAAAAAAGACAGGAAAATTAGAAAGATTTGAGGGGAAACACCCTGAAGAGGTGACCTGGGCCAGCACCTCATCTCCTCCTCCATATGGGTGGGTTTGACCCAAGGGAGCCTTGAGAGGATGGTTTTGGGAAGCAGGAGGAAAATCCCACTGGAGCTTTATCCCGATCCTCTTTAGGTTTATGGGGTCTTGGGGAACAGGATGAGCTCAGGGCTGAGCTTTGGGGTTTCTGTGGGGTCTGGCTGTGCTGTCATTGGACACCCCAAGGAGAGGTTGTGCATCTCTGCCCTTGAACAGATCCAGGGTTATCCTGTGGGAATGGAAAAGTAGGAAAAAGACAGGAAAGCATTTGAGGGGAAACAACCCCTAAGGAGATGACCTGGTCCACCCTCAGCATCTCCCAGAGCCAGAGAGTGATAAAACCCCTCAACCTCTCTCATCCCACCTTGGATGATGTTTTTTTCTCCCTGAAAAACAGGGAATCTCTTCCCCTGCTCCCTCTCCATCCCTGGAATTGCAAAACTGCTTATCCTTGAGGGAGTTGTTCCTGCACCAAAAGGTGCTTTCCATGTTTCTACCTCACCCCAGGGACCCCTGTCGGTCTTCTCTGCCAAAAACAAGTGGTATCCAGCCAGGAGAGTCCACCTGAGGAGGGGAGAGAATGGATTTGGGTTCACCCTGAGAGGAGACTCCCCCGTCCTCATCGCTGGTGTCATCCCGGGGGGCTGCGCTGCCGTGAGTATCCCAGCTTCCCGATATTCCCAGGCTGGAATTGGGGGGTTTTGGGAGGGATACCAAGTGGGTTTGGGTCTTAAAACTTCATTGGTGAGCTCAGGTGGAGGCTCATCCCTGCAGGATTCCAACCTGGGTTCCCAGGGGGCTGAGTATTTCAGGTTCCTGCTATTCCCATGCTGGAATTGAGGGTTTTTTTGAGGGATACCAGGTGGTTTTAAGTCTTGGCAAGCTCAGGTGGAGACTCATCCCTGCCTGATCCCAGTCTGGGTTCTCAGGGGGCTGATTATTCCACGTTCCCGATATTCCCAGGCTGGAATTGGGGGTTTTGTGAAGGATACCAGGTGGGTTTGGATCTTAGAACTTCATTGGTGACCTCAGGTGGAGACTCATCCCTGCAAGATTCCAGCCTGGGTTCCCAAGGGGCTGATTATCCCAGGTTCCTGCTCTTCCCATGCTGGAATTGAGGTGTTTTTTGAGGGATACCAGGTGGGTTTAGGTCTTGGTGAGCTCTGGTGGAGACTCATCCCTGCAGGATCCCAGCCTGGGGGTTGCAGGTGGGTGTCAGGCAACAACTGAGATGAATTTTTAGGGAAAAACAGGGAGGTTTGGTCAGATTTTAACTGCTGGCTGCCCTCCCAGCTGCCTTATCCCTTTATTTTGGGATGTGAGGATGGAGGGAACAGGATGGCAAGTCTGAAAAACAGGTTGTCTCACTGAACACTCACTGTGGGGGCTTTGTGGGGTAGAAGGAACAACTTTTTATCCAGCAGATCCCAGAGAATCCTGGTGGGATGCCCAAAAGGTCTCCCAGCTCCCTCTGCATCCACCAACCATCCAGAGACTGGAATCTCTATTTCAGCACAGGATCTTAACAGCAGGATCACATCCCTTTTTTGGGAGACCAAAATCTTCTCCAAGACCATTTATGGTCCATATCGGGACCACAGTTGTGTCCCTTCTTCAACCTGGAGAAGGGAAGGCTCCAGGGAGACCTTGGAGCCTCTTCCAGGGCATAAAGGGGCTCCAGGAGAGCTGGAGAGGGAATTTGGATGAGGGATAGAGGGACAGGACAAAGGGGAATGGCTTCAAACTGAAATATGGGAGCTTTAGATGGGATGTTGGGAAGGAACTCCTGTCTGGGATATTGGGAAGGAATTCCTGTCTGGGAGAGTGGTGAGGGGCTGGAATGGAATTCCCAGAGAAGCTGTGGCTGTCCCATCCCTGGAAGTGCTCTGGGCCATGTTGGACAGGGCTTAGGGAAGGTGTCCCTTCCCACGGAATGAGATGGTCTTTGAGGTCCCTT